TAACTTTTTGTTAACACTCACTAGCCATTTATGAGTTTCTATTTCTCCACATTCTTGCCTACAGAGCCTGTTGTCAAACTTCTGGATGTTTGCCAAATGAGAAATGACATTTCAATGTATTTCTTTCTCTTTTTTTTGGTAATACCTTTTTAAATTATTTATTTGTTTGCTTTTTTAAAGATTTTTTCTGATATAGACCATTTTTTTTCTTTTTTCCTTTAACATCTTTATTAGAGTATAATTGCTTTAAAACCAATGTAGTTTTAAATTCATCTTTCCTTACTATAAGTAAGGCTGAAATATTTTATGGGACATTTTTATTACTTTATGGTTTTTCAGGTCCATGTTCATGCTGGACTTCTTGATTTAGAAGAGCTCCAACCACAAGATGGAATTGTATAAGGAATGATTTCGATTTAGCAGTGGAGATCCCTGATGACCTTAGAGAGGCAGAAACTTCATTAGGTGTTTAGGTAGAGGCAGCGTTCAAGTGGTTACTAAATGTGTGAGGTGAGGCAAGATGAGGAAGTTGGGAGAAGCTGATTCACAGAAGGGTGATGGAAGGGAAATGTAAGGGGTGTCCCCCAAGCCATTATTTAGTAATGTTCCTACTTTTCTTTAACACATCTATCACACATGAGGCTCACAACCACAACAAGCATCTGAGGCTAGCAGGACTTTGCACAGACATGCACATGAGCATCAGAACAGCTTAAGACCCACCAAGCCTTCCAGCCAGAATGCAGTAGGATGAGGGGGGTAGCCACAGCCACCCCACTTCTGGCCTATCCAGCTTTGAAGCTAAGGAAGGCCAAAGAATGAGGATTATTCAACTTCATTCAACTTTATTATTATTCCCTTATATGTGCTTTCTTCTAAAAAGGAAGTGAGAACACACGGAAAGTTGTGTGTGTCATTATATAAGATCAAAGCTATTTATGGCCTGTGCCTTTTAGTACCCGTGCCTAATCATGCCTTTTCCTTCAAGGGCAATGTTTAAAAAGAAGTGTCAAAAAAAAAAAAGTGTCAACTTTATTAAGAATCTAAGCAAAATCCGTTCCTCTTGTCATCAAAGACATATCTTACGACCGTTATTTACTCCCTTCTTGATTTCCTCAGCTGTGAACTATTACTTGCTGTGCACCCGGCCCTGTGTATGTTATTAATGTGCCCCGGTAATTTAGTTAAGAGTTTGAAGTCCCTGGAGTTCCATGGGAAAGGCATTCTAATAATAGTAACAACTACAATTTCATTAGTTAAAAACTTCAGGACTTCGTTGTAAAACGAGAGCGGTAGAGTAAGGGAAATTACACGGATATTTCCCGCCGCCAGTTGCACCCCTCCCAGAAGGAATCCTCCCTCTGTCTGTTCTCCAGGTTCGTCCCCTTGTCCTTCAGGGTTAGGGACTGGAGCCCTAACGCCTGCGGCTCAACGTGAAAGGACACTATGCGCTTTGACCTCTGTACTTGGTCTATGTAAATTTTGTCCTTCCAGGGGACCCAGGAAGCCCTGACTGGGGAACCTCTGATCCCACAGTCTCCCAGGGGCTGCTCTCCCCGCACTGGATTCCTATGCCTTGAGGTCCCCCAAAGAGACCTCGGTCTTTCCTGCCAGGGAGGGGGGCTATCCCTTCCGAATAAGGCCACCTCCTTTTTCCCTCCCAGCTTTGGGGTCTTTGCTATTGGGTTCTTTAAAGCGGGAAGGAAACTAGAGCTGGAGGGCTTGGCGGGGGATGGGGGAGCGGGGAGAATCTGTATGCCTCCGAGGCGAGAGATCGGGAAAGCCACTTCCCCAAAGTTCAAGGGGGATGAAATCTCACGTGCTGACAAACAATGGAAACCGTACCAAGGACCACCGAGGGCCGGCCCATCTACCATCTTTAGGCGCAGAGGGTGGAGACCGCCCCAGCCCCAGCTCTTCCCTCCCCCCTTCACTCACACACTAAGATCAAAAGGCGCCTAGTTCTTTCACCCAAGGACCTGCGATTTCGATCCCCAGCGGCTCCCCTCGTCTGCGGCCGGAGCTCGGCACTGAGGTCGAATGGACTGCCCCGCCCGGGGAGGTGCGCGAGGCGCAGAGGAGCAGCGCGGGGCGCGCAGCGCTCGCCGGCTTGTACCCAGAGGCCACGGTTTGGGACGGGCGTTTGCAGCCGCTCATCTGCCTGCGCTGATCACATCTACCGGAGACAACCTTCTCCTCCCCTGCGGGATCGCTGCGCCCAGCTCGCTCTCCTCTGTCTGTCCTCCCCCCTCCCCCAGCCTACGGCACTTTTTTCAGCCAGCCCCAGGCCCAAGAACCCCCGCATGGGCCGCCGCCACCAACGACCCCCGCCCCCAAAGTTTCCCCTCCCTCCCCCATGGGTCCGTGCGCCCACTCGGGACCGGGGTCCGGGCAGCCACTCACCGCGAGGGTCAGCAGGAGTTGCCAGCAAAGGGCTCCGCTCGCGGAGCCTATGGGTCGCGCTGCCGCCATGGGAGGACTCGGAGGCAGGTCGCCGGCCGAGGCACCCGGAAGGCCGGGGTGGGAAGGCGCAGCCGGGCGAAGGGCCGCGGGCCAGGCGCAGGCTGGGCCGGCCGCGCAGGAGTGCGAGGCAGAGAACGTGGCGCGCGGAGGGAGCTGCTTTTCTTCTCGGTTTTTCTGAAGCTTCTGCGTCTCACCCCAGGAGCTTTTCCTCTGACCGAGGGTGGGGTTCCAGGCGCGTCCGAAACACACCGATCGGCCCCTCCTTGGTATTTTCTCAAGTCTTTATTTCTGGAAGAACGCCAACAGGTGGGAACTCCCTCTCGCCGCCACCCTTTTTCTGTGCTAGGTGTTTCTCACCGACGGACACCACCCATATGCCCCATCTCCCCACCGCCCCGGTATCCGCCTTGAGGATTAACAGCTGGCCCTGCCCAGCAGAAGTCCTGACTGTACAGAGACTCTGTCCCCGAGCGCGTCCTGCCGCAGGAGGGGGCGCGCTCCCGGCCCCGACTCCGCCCCGTGCGCAGCGGCCAGTTTCAGACCCGCAAAGGCCGCCTGGGAGCTGGAGAGGTCGCGTTTTGTGTCACAGCTAACTAAGGCCCGCCTATTAGAGGGTTGACCCCAGGTAGACCGTTTTATACGCTCTTTGCTGGAGTTAATTTACTGCAGACATCCAAGTGCAATTCAGACAGGTTTCATCTGTGGCACACCTTTCTTGGGGTCTTGTTTGGTTGTTGTTGGTCTTTTTTTTTTTTAACAGAAATGTCCTGGCCAGTATAGCAATGATACAAGGAAATTACAATAATTAATCAATTAAAATAAGGGAATCCAGGCATCAAGGGTGAGTTACTACTGAAAATACATCTTGTAGACGTTGGTTAAATGTGGGCCTACTGATTTCATCCAAGACCTTCCTTTGTCACAGTTAAAGCCAACCACTGACCTTCTTGTAACTTACCTCCTAAATTGGACTCCTGGACGTCTGAGATTTCTCTCTTCCCTTCCCACCATAAAAACCAGAGTTCGTGGTAAGAAAAGAAAAAGAATAGGATAAAATGTATGTTTTGGTTTGAAGTATACTTAAACTAGATGAATTATAGGAGTACTTAACCTGGAAGATTAAAATATAAAAGAGGTATGCTTGCAGCTCTTCAGAAAGCAATGACAGGGCATTCTGAATCTCCTGCACCTCTTTTCAATTATGGCTTAAACCAGGGAATTCTGACCACAAAGGAGAAACTTGTCTGTTCCATTTCATTTGGTTTGTCTCCACAGGGATGTGTGGAGAAAACTTGTTTGAAAAGCCAGCCGTGATACATTTCAGCTCTTGAAAACATGTACAGTCCTAATACCATTATACACAGAGCCAAAATTATTATAATATTGACCATATACTTAAATTCAAAAGTATTGTCAAACAGTACCCGCGTTACATTCTATGTATTAGTCCCATGCTCTATTTTATTACTGAATGACACATAATGAGCTGTTCTGTTATCTCCATGTATATAAAATTTATCATTGAATCTTTGCTTGTAAAATAAGCCTGGGTCATCAGCATGAGACTATGATTGACATCGTTCTGTTTCCATAATTTTTTAACCCTCATGTTTTTTCCAGCAATGCTTTCATAAACACACCTCATCCTATTAATGAAGATATCATGATCTCTAGCGTGAAGCTTTCCAGAGGAAGAGAAGCAAGCTAGTTTCAGGTTTAAGAAATCTACTCAGGCTGTCATCATACCCCTTGACAATAGGACATTTCCAAACTCTTGCCTACCCCTCAACCTTTAATGCCTAAGGGTAGCTCATGTTTTTCCACATTCCAGAAAAGGGGAGAAGAGCAATTTGAAAAGAATTCGCCTTAGATATTTATTTTCATCTTTCACATTACGTAACTGATTGAGGCTACTAAGATGGTGATTTGTTTGTTTCATTGTGATTCTTTAAACAAAGAAATGAATTATAAACTCTAAACAAGGGGCCCAATTAATTTAATAGATTTAAATTAGACTATATGGCTTCTGAAATAGATTCTTCTATACTACAGTCTTGAAACAACAGGTATAAATTTGAAGAGACAATGAAATATGGGAAGATGAAATTTTTAAGTATGTCTTTTGGCTGTGAAGATGATTTGGCTGACTTGAACTGGGTTTCCATTCTGCTATAGTAAAGAGTGCACCGGACCAAAAGTCAGGACCAAGTTCCTTTGTGTCTTGGGCCACTCATGTAACCTTAGCGCTCAGCACGCCTGTTTGTTAAGTAAGATAATTAAAGTAATACTAGATGCTGTCTATGGCACCTTCCACATCTAAAGTTAAACTACTTAGACTCCTTGTGGCTTATTTTTGAGAAGTTGGCTGGAAATAGGTGTTCCTTTCCAAGTAGAAAGTCAGAACCAGAATTGTCCTTAAAAAACTGAACAAACAGCAAGGCACTTGGGGCACATCTCTGCAACCTAGCTTCACAGTTTTCTAATTTCAGAAACTGGAAACTGAACATATTAATGGCAACAAAAAAATACCACTTACTGATATGCACACAGGGACAGCTCTCTTTGAGCTGCGTGATTCCACTGTTGAAGCCTGGGGAGAAGGGTCCATGTGGACACGTGATCTTTAGGGTGCCTCTATCTTGGCGTGGCCAATGACACAGAATGGAACCTCAAAGCAAAGGAAACAGACCTAAGGGGAGAAAAATGAGGTTGAAGAACATTGTCTAGTTACTTTACAGGTGAAAGTGAAGAGGAAAACATCAGATAACCATAATAAAATGAGCACAATTGGACTATTTACCTCTCAGAGTTGTTACAAGATTAAATGATGCAGAATAAAACCTAGCATATTCTAAGCGCTCCATGAATGTTGGTTAATATGGGTATCCCTCTCCTGCCCACTGCTACCATACCTTTACAACCCACTCATCGCCCACCAGGCTTCATGCTCATGACAGTTCCCTAGTTCCTGTTCTTCCTCTTTGCTCAGGTACTGGTCTAGGGCTGAACCCCAGTGTTAATTCACTCACCACTCCCAAATCCTTCAGGCTCTGTCCCCCCAACACGCCCCCCAGACCTCATCTGATTCAGAAGGATTAACTATGCAATACCAAAATGAGATGCCGCAGCTCGCGCTGGTTTTGTACTTACTGAAAATTGGGACCAATTTGTTTTCAACATTTAACAAACATTTATTGAATGTCTACCCTGTATTCCCATAGCCCTCTTGGCATGCATTCCTAGTATTGCAGTTAACATACTGAATAGAAATTCTGTCCACTTTTTCTATTTCTCATTTTACACTGTGAGCTTCTTAGGGCAAGGACCATCAGAATTCTTATATGATGGGAGAAAAGCTTTTTAAGTGCTGCCTTGTTCGATAAATAAAATATTTATTTTTTAATGCTGCCATATTTCTTTGAAGTTCTCTTCAAAATTGTCCTCAATAAAAGAGTGTACTAATCAAATTCAACTTCCATTACCTTTCAAAATATATTTTTGAAATAAATAAGGGGTAGAGTGTGAAATAAACAATCAGTCCGTTCTTATCGAAGTACTTTCACTTAAAAGACCCTCAATTAAAAAACAAGCCAATGAATGAATTCTGAGGCAGTTGTGTTGAACATGACTTTGTCTGCTCTTGCCTTTAATAGAATGCCATTGACATGTGCCACTCTGGAGTGCTGTGAGCAAATATATCCTTAAAACCACAGAATTTTCAATTATTTGCTTTACTAACTAACTAGTTTGACAAGTATTTATTCAGTACCAACTATGTCTCAGGCATTTTCTCAGCCCTGGGAATGCTGTGGTGAGCAAAACAGAAAGGGCATGTGCTGGAAGGAAACGCCTAAGGAAGTACAATTGGGCTGAACAAGTACTCTCCACCTGCTATTCACCTCATGCAGACTCTTTTGTGAAAGAAAAGACTAATCTCAAGTTAAGTGCAAAATGATATATAAAGAGTGTTCTATAAGGATGAAAAATCACCAACTAAAATTCATGTGTTAAATTCTGAAACGGACCTAGGGACAGGAAACTTACTGTTTTGTGAGATCACTTCACTTAGAACATGTTTGCTCTTGGCTTCTTTGACAGTCACGTCTCCTGTTTTTCCTGCTTTCTCCTTCCCTTGCTGGCTGGGTCTGTGCATTCTCCTCACCTGGATTCCTCTGCTCGACCTGACTTCTAAATATTGCCACACACAGACACGTTTGCACTTTTTCAGATCTGTACTCGAGAGGCTCCTACCATGGGTGTTTTGTATATGCTCTTCCCTTACCTGGAACTTTCTTCTGTCTCTGGCCTGGCCCATCCAATAAATAGCAACTTTTATTTTCTCTCCCACCAGGTCAAATCCCTCTCTGATCAGGTCAAATCTTCCTCATTAAAAAACTGCCTGGGGCTTCCCTGGTGGCGCAGTGGTTGAGAGTCCGCCTGCCCATGCAGGGGACACGGGTTCGTGCACCGGTCCGGGAAGAACCCACATGCCGCGGAGCGGCTAGGCCCGTGAGCCATGGCTGCTGAGCCTGTGCGTCTGGAGCCTGTGCTCTGCAACGGGAGAGGCCACAACAGTGAGAGGCCCGCGTACTGCAAAAAAAACAAAAAAAAACCCAACTGCCTGTTCTTTAGAGCACTTGTCACAATTACAATGTTAAATTTGAGTAATTATTTGATTAATATTTGTTTTTCACCAAAGACCATACATTTTCATGACTGCACTTGACCTTTTTTGGTTCTCCCTGTATCCCTGGCACTAACCAGCATGAATCCTGGCACATCGTAGATGCCTAATAAATAATTGTTGAATGAGTGAGTAAATGAATAAATGAATGAATGACTCCTGGGAGGTTTTTTTGGTAAGTAATTCTTTGTTTTTCTAATTTTAATGTTTATTGGCCTACTAAAATGATGTCTTGAGTCAAATTTAGCAGGGTGAGTGTTCCTAATCTGGTCTCAAACATAATGGACATGTATTAGTATATTTGTTAAAATGTGAGCTGGGCCTACCAAGAATTTCTAGTATGGTTTTTGCACAAGAACAGACAAATAGGCTAAAGAGTTTTAAAATTCAGAAAGAGACCAGTGCAGAAATAGGAACTTAATATATGATAAAAGTGTGGACAGCACACACCACTGAAAAAAGAAGAAATTATTTAGTGGTGTCGTTAGGAAAACTGATTCTTTATTAGAGAAAAACAGAACCGATTCCCTACTTACCATCATGTACAGAGTGGACTCCAGATGGGATAAACTTCCTGTGGTGACAAAGATATAAGTTAATGGAAGACAATATAGAACATCTATATGACCCGGGGTAGAGAAAGATTTTTAAAATAACGCCCAAAAAGCATATACCATAAAGAAAATTTTAAAAGATACATTTGATTACATTAAAATTCAGGCTTTCTATTCAACAAAGGACACCATGAATAAAGATAATAGGTGATAGATTGGGAGAATACATTAGTTATGACTAAAACAGACAAGGGAATAATATCTAGAATGTGCAAAGAATTCTTACACATGACAGGAACCACAATAGAAAAAAATGGGCAAAGGGTGTGACCAGGCATTTTACAATAAAGGAATCCCAAAGCCTACAACGCACATTTTAAGAAACCAGAGAAGTGCATTTTAAAATCATAAAATATCCTTTACACCTGTTGGACTGACAAAAATTAGGAAGCTGATGCTTCCTTGTCAAAGTGACTCCCTGATTAACTCTCCACCCTCCCAACTGCTACTCAAACCTCCCAAACACCCTCCTTTATCCTTAGTTTCCTTTACTGACTTAGCTTTCAATTTCACATACAAAATAGCTTTCAATTTCACATACAAAATAGCTTTCAATTTCACATACAAAATATCAAGGAATACTACAAGCTTCCCCACACCTACCCACCTGTCTGCATCTGTGCCATATTTATTATATATGGGCTTTTCTTCTATACTGTAGAAGAACTGCCTCTGTTCATGGCTAAGGTCAGCTTGTACACTTGGGCATTAATTCCCATCTCCTCCCACCTCCTTGAGAACACTGCTCTAGCAATTCTGTTCCTTCTCTCCTATGTCATCATTTAATCCATCTCTATCTTCCCCAAGTGTATATAAACAAAACAAATTCCTAACTACAACATTGATTTTTAATTACAGGCATGGAAATGTAATTGCAGTTCATAGAGACAATTCTATGTAACTCACTCCAAAGAAAATAATAGCAAGGAAAGTAATAGTAATTTTTTTAAATGTGGGTAATTTTTTCATCTATTCAATTTTGGGAAGCCAGCTAAAAAATATAGATATAGAGATAGATAGATAGATAGATAGATAGATAGATAGATAGATAGATGATAGATACATAGAGCTATAGATCTATATAGATATCTTGATGAAGATTAAAATGTGGTTACCAGGGGGTCTGGGAGGTAGGGAAATAGGGAAATCTGGTCAAAGGGTGCAAGCCTTCTTAAGTATATGAGTTGACGGATGTGTTAATTAACTTAATTCTAATAATCATGTCATAAAATATACAGGTATTAAATCATCACATTGTACACTTTATGCACACCAGTTTTGTCAATAATACCTCAATAAAACTGAAAACAAAAACAAATCCAGTCACTCCCCAAACATTTACCTGGCCAGCTACCATGTTAGTGTTCTTAGCCTACGCCAGCCCCGGGTCCAGTCCCAGCAGAGTGGGCTTTCTAGGAAACACAGTCCAAAATAAAGAAAACCTGTTCAAGTACTTCAAACCTTTTCCAGTGTTGAGGCTCAGGGCAGGCCATCCCCAAATATGCCACCATGGCGTAGTTATTATTTTGAGTTAAAGTTATTGAAGAAATGGCCCATGCGAGACGGACGCTCTAACCCTCCTTTCTGTCTCCCTGAAAGCAGGAAATAAATCTCCTGTGAAAGGTGCCCTCCTGCATCTGGAGGTAGAAGGACACCCCTATCTCCAGAGACAGGGAATTCGGGCTGAGATCCTGTATAAACCAACCTTGCTACTTCTTTAATTTACCACCCAAGCCCAAATTCTGTTTAGATTCTTTACTCATTAAGCACCCAAAACCGAAGTTTCTTTGTCCTGTCAATTCCTCACAAATTTATTGTTTCTTTGCCTAAAAAGTATAAAAGCTGCCTGCTTTGGCCACTGCTTAGGTCCATTTCTATGACACTTCTGTGCATACAAATTAAAATATGTTTCTCTTTCTCCTGTTACTCTGTCATGTGTCAATTTTTTTTTTTTTTTTTTTTTTTTTTTTTTTTTGCGGTACGCGGGCCTCTTACTGTTGTGGCCTCTCCCGTTGCAGAGCACAGGCTCCGGACGCACAGGCTCAGTGGCCATGGCTCATGGACCCAGCCACTCCGCCGCATGTGGGATCTTCCCAGACCGGGGCACGAACCCGTGTCCCCTGCATTAGCAGGCGGACTCTCAACCACTGCGCCACCAGGGAAGCCCCATGTGTCAATTTTGTTATTAGCCTGGCACAAGAACTCAAGAGGGTGAAGTGGAAATTGCCTTCTCCCTGATGCTAGCGTTTTCAGGGGGTATTCTTAATACCTAGTAACCTTCTTAAAAATGCTTTCGTCCCATGGCTAACATTCTGAGTGCCCTTTATACAGTTTGCTGCTGTTTCCCGAAAATTTAAAGGTACCTTTTTCCTACTTCTCACTTTCTACTCCTCAACAGCAACAACCATCGCCACATAAATAAAATAAACCTTCACATCACATCAGTCTCCAGCTTCATTGCTGTGTTTAATCCCTCATCTCTCATCTGGACCACCTTCACTGGTCTTCCAGCTCTACAACCCCTCCAATCCAACCTCCCTAAGAGTGGTTTTAAATTTGTGTTGTTTGGAACTTTAGTAGATCTTGTTTTTTGCTTGTTTCGTTCTGCTTTTGGTTGGTTGTTTTGGCTTTGTTTGGCTTGGGAAGCCTTACTTCCGCTCCATCTAGAATGTCTTCTGCTTTGCTCAGGGAGCCTTCCCTGCTTCCCCATGGAGGGGAAGCACTTTGAGTCTTCTGCAGCTTTCATATCTGCCTCTGTAATTGGTTATCTGACCAAAGTGTTGTAATTATTTCATTTATAAATCTGTCTCCTCTGGAGTGCATTAACCTTCTATTCTTTATATACTCAAATAATTGCAGAATTCTGGGTTTGATTTATGTTTGGACAAAGAGTGTACAGTATTGTTAGTAACAAAGGTAGGAACAGCAAGAAAGTGCTAGTTTGTGCAGGAGTTAAATAATTTGCTTTTGAAGGTACTGAGTTTGAGATTTCTGTGAGCCATCAGGCTGGAATAATTAGTAAGCAATATGGATGTGGAATTCAAAAGAGACATCCAATCTGAAGACGCAAACTTGATCATTATCAGGATATGAATAGTTAGGGCAACTCCAAATGAAAGCCATCTATCTGTTTAACCCATTGATTCCGCTGTGGAGAGAATGGCTCTAATGTGAGGAAGACTCTGTGTCTTCCACCTTCCCACAGAAATGTACCAGCTGAAGATTGAAATTTACATTGTAGAAGGATGTATGTAAAATATTTAACACAGATTCATAGGAAGTATTTTTTCTTTTAGGATTGATAAGCTAAAAACACTTTCCATTGTAGTATAGACCTGAGAAGGCCATTTCAGGAGAAATGTTCAGGCGGTAATCACTGGTCAGCCTTACCTTTAAATCCTTGCCCTATGAAAACCTAGCAGTCTGATCTTGTTTAAGTCACCTAACCTCTCCCAGCCTCAGTTTTCTTACTGGGAAAAGGAATAATAAACACCTAAACTTGGAAGTATGTTATTAATATTTTCAATGAGATAACATTTGTGATAGTATCCTGTAATGCTTGCACATAGTAGGTGCTCAGTAAATGTCTTCAACAAGCATTTACTGAGTTTCCTCCATGTTCCAGACACTGTTTTAAGCACAAAGATCTCTGCCCTCATGGAGCTTACACTCAGATGTGGGGAGGGGAGAGAAAACAATGAACATAATGAAGAAACAAATTATATTGTACACCAAATGGCAACATAATCCATTTTATATAGAAAATTCATGTAGTGTAAGTAGTCATAGCCTTTAACACCTGCAGGGTCCAGGAAAGTAATCAAAATAAATAAGTTAGGTTGGTTGAAAAGAGCAGCCCTTTTTATTATTCTGCTTTTGTGAAGATAAGAGCACAAAAAATACATCTCTTTTCCTTCCTACATCTACCTTCAGAAAACAATAGTACAAGTGTCATGATAAATGGCAATTGACAGCCTTCTTATCTGAGACATAAATGGCAAGCCTCCTAGGGCTCTGGCACTGGCAGAGACCCTGGGAAAGTCACTTGTCACTTCCAAGCAATTGGTGGTCTTTGGGAATATGGACTCCGTGTTGCCAGACCCGCCAATTTTTCAAGCAAAGTCACAAATTTGCATTTGGGGTGAAATATCCTTATTTTTAATATAGCCGTTTATTTATAATTTTTTCAACTGTAAAATCTTCTCCTCTCCTCCCCCAAAACCCCCCAAAATTTGCAGACCACATATGGTTTAAGGAAGTAATCAGGTTTAAATCTCTGAAAAAAACTGAGGTTTTATTGATGTCACTTTAAAAATAAGCTTTAGCTCTGCAGTATTTTGTAAAACTTGGCACGTGAAAGAGTGTGAGCCACTCAAACTACTACATAGTCCACTAACTATTTTTTTTTATTGGAGTGTAGTTGCTTTAGAATGTTGTGTTAGTTTCTGCTGTACAGCGAAGTGAATCAGCTATATGTACACATATATCTCTTCCCTCTTAGACCTCCCTCCCACCCCCATCCCACCCATCTATGTCATCACAGAGCACTGAGCTGACTCCCTGTGCGATACAGCAGGTTCCCACTGGCTATTTATTTTACACATGGTAGTGTATATATGTCAATCCTAATCTCCCAATTCATCCCACCCTCCCCTTCTACCCGCCCCCCCCACCCCGTCCACATGTCTGTTCTCTATGTCTGCGTCTCTATTCCTGCCCTGCAAATCATTATATAAGGAATAAATATTTTGCTAAGAATCTTACTGACCTGGGGCAGGAAACACTGGTTAAGAATAAGAAACAATATTTCTCCTGCATATTTGCCCCCAGATTACCTCCTATCATTATTAAACGTCTTCCTTAGTTACAGTGCCCTGATTTTGTTCAGCTGATAAACCACATTTCTCACTCTCTCTTGCAGCTAGGGATGGACAAGTGACTAAGTTCTCCCAAGGATATGTAGGCAGGAGTTGTTGGAGGGAGCTTCTGGAAACGCTCCCTAAAAAGAAAGTCTTCCTCCTTCCTCTTTTTTCTGCCTCAGACTCAGACGTGATAGCTGGAGTTGCATGAGCCATCTTGTGATTGTGAAGCAATTTGTACAAAGGATGGTTGAGCAGAAAAAGTGAAGGCTCCTGGGACATTGATGATATTAAGAAGCCCCTGTAGGGCTTCCCTGGTGGCACAGTGGTTGAGAGTCCGCCTGCCGATGCAGGGGACATGGGTTCATGTCCCGGTCTGGGAGGATCCCACATGCGGCGGAGTGGCTGGGCCCGTGAGCCATGGCCACTGAGCCTGCGCATCCGGAGCCTGTGCTCTGCAACGGGAGAGGCCACGGCAGTGAAAGGCCCGCGTACCGAAAAAAATAAAAAATTAAAAAAAATAAAGAAGCCCCTGTAAGTCCAAGACTCTGAACTTGTTTTACATTAGTGAAAATGAACTTTTGCCTATTTAAACCACTTTATAAGAAATTGATTCTTTACAAGAAATTGATTACATTAAGAGATAATTAAGAGGTAGAGTGAACTGGTTGTAGTTCTATGTGTGATGTTGGATGGGGGAGGGCAGAGGGGGAAGAGTCAAGGGTGATGCCCAGGGTTCTGGCTTTGGCTACTGGGCGACAATGTGCCCTGAGCAGGCAGGATCAGGTGGTTCATGATGTCTAAATAAATAAATAAGCCACTTTATTTCTGTTACCAAGTAGTCTAATAC